TGACTGATGTTAAGAGTGTACTTTCAGATATTTATAAAACTGTGCCATTTTACAAACATGTGTATATATATACACACACACATATATATATATATATCAGTCTGGCGAGTGAACTAAAAAATGTACTAGCCAATGGCGATTCAATTGCCAAGGTGTCCGTAGAGGGTTGCGATATATCGGTTTTAACGATTAATCAACGTTTATAGTTGCTTTTTTGTACTGTTTTTTTAATCAAAGTTGATAGCTTTTCTTTATAATCCTTTTTAGCCCTCTTTATATCCTGTGCATTGGCACTGGATTCAACCTCTGCGGGTGAAATAAAATTAATTATGAACTCTGCATTGAGCTTTGATGCATGTCTATGCTTTGTACACAAAAAGTGGATTTAAAACTTCAGAAAAAGCCAAGGTATGTATACAGTAAGCCTTGCCATTACATATGGAACAGTAAATCAATAATTTAAGTTAATTAAAAGGATAGTTCACTCAGAAATGAATATTCTGTCATCATTTACTGTTATGTAGTTTTCTTTCTTCTGTGGAACACACAGAACACACGTTGATCTGAGTTTAATGTTTTTTTTTTTCAAATGTAATTAGCAGTCCTTTAAGCAACAATATGAAATATATAACATCTCTATATGGAGACAAGACTAATTTCAGTCAGAACTACATCTGAGTGTTGTAATGTCTGTCCTTACTGTGGTTGAAAATCACTCACATTTTGGGAAAGATTTTGGCTATATCACATAAGTAGTTTAATTAAGGAGCTGATAGAAAGTCACTTCATAATGCTTAAATTCCCCAGCGAGCAAACCAGTTGTGACTGGCAAGGAACCCAAAAAATTTTTTTTTTTTTTTGTTATAGGAAGGCTATTTAAAAAATTCATTTAAAAAGACAAGACTTGAGTTGATTTTATTTCTATCCCTTTTCCTCTCTCCCCTTCTTGTAATCCTTTTCGCAAGTATTTATTTGATATGACAGTCAAATTGAAAGTGAGTCAGTAGTGATGAAGCGTAGCTTTTTATTCATTTTTTTAATTTAATTAATAATTACTAAACATTCTCATGGTTAAGGCATTACTTTTTGATTTCTAATAAAGTTCAATACCATTTTTTTCATTAAGTGGAAAGCTTTTGTTCATATTATTGATTGTTGATTAATTTTGCAATTTTAGTTATTGGTATCAGGAAAAATAGGTTGACCTCTAGTGTCTTGTATACCCAATGTTTTTTTTTTTTTTTTAAAAAAAAAAAATAAAAAAAAAAAAATTAAAAAACAACAAAAAAAAAAAAA